CGCTCAAAACCTGAATCGTCTCATTGAACCCAATATCAGTTCAAAATCTGTTAGCACAAAATATATGGATTTTTTATTGCCCCCAATTACATCTATTTATGGATTCTTTTAATCAATAGATGTTGGTACTAAAATATTTATGTTAGCTTGCAGCATTGCAATAGAATGTCATTTCCCGAGACAAACCAAGACAATTAACTAGTCTTCAAATTTCAACAGAAGTTATTCATGCATTTACCTGATTTGATTTACTATCAAATTTAAAAATAAGGATAGTACCAGAGAGAATAAAATCAGCAGATGCACACAAAGGCAAAGAAAACATTCTTTTACAATCCACACCTACACTCACAGTGCACTGACCTGAAGGATGATTCCCCTGTGACGGGGGAGGGGGGAGGGGGGAACGAAACACGCAAACCTTCTCACATTCATTTTTCGTATTTGCCTCTGTTGACACTCCGGAAGGGTTTCATTCATTCTCGAATGTTAAAAAACTATCTCAGTACCTATTTGAAAACCCCCTTTTGCTCTTTAGTTTGTTTATTTGAATAAGTGCCGTCCCGTCTTGCAGACGGCTTGCAAGCGCGGCAGCCGGTATGAAAAATTCGTCAGCCGCACGATGCTACCAACCTAACCACGCTAATTACCTAGTTAAAACGATGTTTGAATATTTCAAACGATGAAAATCGTTAATCTGAGATAAACTCCCCTGTAGGATGTTTGGGGAGACATCAGGTGTGAAATTTGGATACTATTCGTTCGTAGTTGCTGAGAAACGTGAGTGATTACATACAGACGGACAGACAGACTCACGACCAGTCGGTTTTTGGTGCGCCCTAACACGGCATGGGCTTCGCTATCGCTCAGCCAAAAAATTAGTTTCTACTTTTTTTATTTAAACCATGCCACAGTTGGTCTAAAACGATGTTTAGTATTGGCATTGGTTGGTTTTGTTTTTAGACAAAGTGTGCGAATAAGAGTTGAGCCACCCCCAGTTGTTTCTTTTTCTTTGCCTATAATTTTTTAAAAAAATTAGGTGTACTATATATTTTTTATATAAAATATATGTTTTATAATTTTATCTTAGGGGGGACACAATAATACGGGGGACGGAAAAAATGGTGGACAGATATAGCCATCCCTTCTAAATGGGTTAATTCCTGCAGAACATCTGGTATTGGAGGAAATTGAACTCCATTTACCAGTGCATTAGATGGAATAATTTTCTTTATCAAATAATTTTTGCATGTATGACATACAATATATTTGTTTGCTGATGCTGAACCATATATACATATCTTTTGTAATTTAAATTTGTTAGTATCATATTGGTCATCAAGAAAACATGTGGACTTCTTAAAATTTATCTGTCCACAGCAAGAACATATGAATGTGGGTCCTTGTTTTATTTCTTTGAAGTAATTTTCAATAATATGTGAAGGCTTATCAAGAGTAGGTTGAGCACTTTCATTATTCAATTCCTTCTCTTTGTGCTTATGAATAGTACCTTTAACACTTTCGTCATTGAATTTATCGTATTTAACTGATTTTGCTTCACGAACTTTTAACAGTTTATCTTTTAACTTATTTTTAAGTCCTGCCTCTTTGTTCAGTTGTTTTTGCCTGAGTTTACTAGATGTATACTTATTTTTCAATGGCTCATCATTAGTTTGGGCACGGCCTGGACGTACCCCCGTCGGGACGTACCCCCCTGATTTTCTATTATTTATTTTTTAATTAATTGAATAAATATAATAAGCCGATCCTTTTGGAAAATGTTCCAGATTAATCCAAAAATATTCAGAAATATTCCCAAAATATTTTGAAATATCCCAGAATATTTTAGAATATTTTAGAATATTTTAGAATATTTTTTCCCTAGAAATTATTCCTCTGCTGGGGCAAACTCTTGTGTGGAAATAATCGGAAGAATAAATTATTATCGTCCCCTAGCGGAGGCTATGCAGGGCCGCACGTGGAATTTCTCATAGCGGGCCGTCGTGCTAAGTAGCCTCGGTGCGGTGCTGAGTAGATGCATATTCACATTGCGTACAAGCAGAAGAAGTTTTTGTTTACAACTTTAAAAAAAAAACAAAGTCCGCGGCAATGCCTAACAGTACATATTTGTTCAAAGAAAGTAACTATCTCTTGGATATTTGAGTTGAATATCGATAGCTGCAGGGTTGTGGAACGTCGCAACTGTTTGTGGTCACACGCAGATTATTGAAGGGTCCTGGGTGCCGTGGGTAGTCTCATGAGGTGAGTAGTGGATTATTTACAAACTAGGTTAAACGTTAGGAGTTTTTTTAGCTCATGCGATAAATTTCATTTTTTTTAGTGAACAGTCTTTAGTGCCTAGAACTCACGTACGAGAAACTTGGAGCGCGCTGATGACGTAAGAAGTACTTAACCCTTTCATGCTGTTTCTGTTACAGTATTCGCAGGGCTGTTGCCTTTGGTGGGCCGGTTCAGAGGACGAAATTCGAGGTCTTTGTGAAGTCGAAAAGAATTTACCAGGACAGGTTTGAAATGTCCAAAGTGATGCACTGTAAGCCATATTCATAACAGTTGCTTGAACTTCAGAGATGTTCACTATGGATTGTAAGGGAGCTACATTCAGTGAATTTGACTTTTATGGCTCGGAAAAGATACTGCAGCAGAGTTGTGTAACAACACAAGATAGTATGTTGGTTACATTATGTATTGCATCACTACGCCACCATCAACCATTAGTCGATGAAGCTGCTGTACGTTTGCAACTTCTGTCCTTGACATCGTCTTCTGGCAACTGTGTGCACCCTTGGCAAAGGTAAAAACAATATTTTTACTCTCTAGCTGTCCAGAAGCTGCCGAATATTACCATTTATAAAAAAGAAACTCGTGGCCAAAAAGAATGATACAATAACCAACTTTACCCGATGTTTAACAGGTCTGTTGCTTCAAAAGCTGTCTCGATACCAATTAGTCCAAATGTACCAGAGAGTTGGTCAATCCTTGGGTTTAATACAAATTCAGATCGACTGGGTTACACTTCTTGTGATAGCAACAGAAGCCCACTGACTGACTTAAGACATTGGATAGATTGCCATTCTTTTCTTTTGAAGGGTAAGTCTATAGTATAATCTAGTTTTTGTTTGCGAAATTGGTAAGCAATTATGCAGTGAGGTTAATCCAAGTTTTATGGATGAAAACAAGACACATGATTAAGTATCGTGTGAGGTTTTTGTACATTCTCACAGCTAAAAATTGACCTTCGAGAATGTACAATTAAAGATGACAACTGACTCTACGGCCTTAAATGTATTGTCCACAATAATTGGTTGCAGCCACTTTTTGTCTTTTTGTAATAGATTTGTGGTGTGTTTTTTTGTTTGTTTTTTAAGAATTTTGCTGACTACTGATATTTTAAGAATCGTCATCCACTTTTCACCAGTTCTAATGCATTTGCTGTCCTGGACTAATGTGCACTCTTACAGGTGAGTCTATTTTACTGCTCTGCAGAGCTGTGCATGATGCTTACTGTTGCACAACAAGGTGATCCCTTAAATTCATGATTTCTACTCCCGGCTGCTCTGAGCACAAGATGCAGTAACTTTAGTTAAACCGTTTTGACATTAATTTAAAGTATAGGGTGAAGACACTCATTTCTTTCCTGACTGAGTGGCAGCTCGATAATCAAATAATGTGACTTGAAAATTTTGGTTTGCCTCTTTTCTTTTTCTTTCATTCAAATATTAATTTCTAGAAGAGTCTTGTTCATTTCATGTGCTCAAAAAGAAATGAAGGGCTTGTGCTTTGCTGTGTATAAAACCCCCTTCTTATCATTTTGTCATTTTTATGTGGTCTATTTTTCTTTTTTAGTGCCACTGGAACTGCAAGGATGTCCAAGGGCGGACCTTCTCCCATCTAGTTCTATCACAGCTACTACACCCAGCTACTGTGAGGTCCATCATCCTGATGTGTTGAAGACCCGTTTTCATTTTATTCTGTTTGGCAGCATGTTGCACAAATGTTGACAAAGTTCTATGCAGTTCCTGCTCACGAACAAACATTTAAATTTTTCATTTTGTCGTATATGTCAGATTTTGTGCGCATGGGTTGGTTTTGATTACACCTTTAGAGTGTCATTATTCATAATTGAACCTGGTTTGTGGTTGAGAATAGGGATTTGTAATGTTCCGTCTGTTCTTGTGCACTCCCAATTTCCTTCTGAGAAACGCAGTGCGGTCAGAATACTAAGGTAATTCTTATCACTTTAAAAAACAAATTTGTCATAATACAGAGAAATTTGTTCGTAATATGAAGAAACTGATCATAAGTTTATGAGAACCCTTCATATAGGGTACTACCTTGCTGTGCTGTCATAATACTAAGCTCAGTAGAATCTAGAGTGTCCCATGCTGCCTCCTGTGTCAATGAAGAGCGTTTTTTAACTTTGCCCACTCTATCATTGCGGAATGAATGAAACTGTTTCATTTACATTTTGTCAGTGTCACATGGAAACGAACAGGTGATGGCTGTAACTTTGCTCTCAGTGGTATGATCTGTTGCCATAGATCTAGAAATTTTTTTCAACTCTTCAGAAATATGTGACATTTAATTAGGGACGAGATTGTTGTTGAAATATGTACCTGCTCGTGCATAGAGTGAAGGTGGCTGCATACAAGTTTTGTCAAAGTTGTACCTGATGTGCTGTCACCAACCAAATGTCAGTCAAAAGCTGCTGGTCATGGTGTTAATGTTGTGTTCCTACACAAAGCCAAACTGGAAGAAAGCGCGTAATTTCTGATGTAATTTTTAAGGCAAGTACTTCCCAGGGATCTACATTGATTCCGGAAAAAAAAAGCCTTCTGTCACATATTTGATAATGGCTCAAGGCATACCTTTTTTATGCACTTTACTTAGGCATTAATTTCATACCTTCAAATGCTATGTTCCTTTTTACGCCCTTTGCACTGATACAGCTTGGGTGGGTGCCTTTAGATAAATACCTATGTGTAATCTTTTCTGCTGGATACATCGTTTTCAATGAATTCTTCTAACTATTTTACATCTTAAGAGGTCTGTATAGTTTAGCTCTCTGCTCACTTTGAAAAAAGCCTGCCAGTGATTGTATATTTTCTGCCATAAAATAAAAGTGTAAAAGTAAAAAGTTTATTTGTATTTGCCCTATGCCCTCTCAATGGAAATTTCCTGCACCACAGCAACTCCAAAAGTTAGAACTAGTGTGAACACTAATTCCACCCTTCGGGCACCACCGTGGCGTCGGGCAGGAGGGCGGCACGGCATGGGCTGCAAGCCTGCAGATGGGGTGAGCTCCTCCACTATGGAAGTCGTCAGCCACCCCAACACGTTGAAGTATACTTGTCGTTCTGTCTCTGTCTTACTCATGGGGCACTCCGTAAAAATGTGACAGAGGCAGCGACAAAGCGCTGCTCTGAATCACTCGGCCCGACCGCAGTTTGGCGTCTATGGTGACTTTCACGTGATAGGGAAGACCTGTGCTTCGAAGAACAGCATGTTCAAGAGAGACAGCGACCACGGCGATGGGCAGATGGTGCGTCACGCACGGCCTTAAGGCGACAGGGTCAATGACAAAGCGTGAGCTTGAGCCCACCGCACCAGGCTACACCAGGCTACACCAGGCCGCCGCCCGTTCCTCAGCGCCTGCAAAGTCAGGGTAGGCATCACGCCGCACACGCCTGTGTTGCGGTACGAGCTACGCTGCGATTGCGATTAACGGCTGGACCACAAGTGATCGTCTGCCTTTCGGGCCCAACCCGCCATGTCGGAGATTCACCAGCACGTGACGGCAGCGGGTATTTTAATAGAAAGTCGTCGAGATACAAATATTGCGAAAGATATGCTGGGAGGGCCAACAATGCCTGCTGGACTGAGGCAGGGCGAAGAGAGCCAGACAGGGCCAGATAGGTCTCGGCCCATCGATAGGTCCCCCGATTCCCTACCATCAGAAGTGGGATCTGAGAATCAGTACTGACAACCAGTGACGAGCGGAGAAGGCGTTCATCATTCCGCGGTGCGAGCCGAGCCGCCGAGGCGACCGGCGGGACCGAGCCGAGCGGGCTGCAGCCGGAGTTCCGGACGCCACAGCGCCGCCGCCCGGGAGCAGCTAGCGCAGAACTTCGGCACCACCTCCTTGTCACTGATGCAGGAGCAGCGCAGGAGCAGGTCAACGGTCAGCATCGCCGCAGCCTGGTCCAGGACTTCGATGGCAGCATCTCGGGGCCGATGTTCCTGAGTACGAGAGTGCCACTCACGACTGGTAGCGGGGCCCCGGGGCCGCCACCTGCTGCAAGCCCTCAAGGGGCGCGCGCCGCCCGCAACCTGGTGCAGTCGCTGCGCCCGTCCCACTACAAGGACTTTGAGCGGCTGCGCGCCCACCTGCAGGCGCACTTTGACCAGGTGAAGCACCGCACCTTTGCCACGGCCGAGTAGAGCCGACACGTGCAGCGCGGTCAGGTGAGGGAGGCTGTCGTGGACTTCGGGACGGGGAGGGGGTGAGGGGACATCCTCCGCCTCATCTAGGAGGCGTACCCGGCCCTCCAGGCCATCGTGACGACGTGTTTCCTGGACGCCTATGGTGCCGTATACGCGTGCCCCATGGTGCACCTGTCCTACCCGAAAACCTTCAACGAGGCGGCCACCGCCACCGTGACGGAGGACGCCGCCATCAAGGCCTCGCCGCCGAATCGTCCCCGCATCGGCCAGGTGTCTGCGGACGCCGGACCGTCTTCTGCCGCGGACGACCACCAGGACGGCGCCGGGGACCGCGGTGAACCTACGCGGGTCGCGGACGCCAGGCCGATTGCCACCCCAAGCCGTGGCCCTGCTGCACAGTTGGACAGAAAGGTGAAAAACGGGAAAAAAATAATTGAGTACGGTTCTTTATTAAACCGACCATGCTGATTTCGAAAATGAAACCCATTTTGAAACCCGGGTTCAAACCATGCAGGTTTCGTGACACTGAAAAAATTCCATTGCAGATAGTAAGATGCGATTTTCAAATTTAGATTTCTCATGAAAAATTGAGTCAGAAACCGTCGGAAAATATTTCGGATTAAAGGTTTGATACCCGGAAACCCGCCCAAAACCCCAAATTATGACAAAAATCCTGGGTTTCATTAAATTATCTAAAATTCCACATGAGATAGAAGGATGCGGTTTTCAAATTCGGATTCCTCATGAAAAATTGAGTCAGGAACCGTCGGAAAATATACCGGATTCAAGGTTTGAAACCCGGAAACCCGCCAAAAACCCCAAATTATGACGAAAATCCTAAGTTTTAAAAGAATATTTAAAATTCCACATGAGATAGAAAGATGCGGTTTTCAAATTCGGATTCCTTATAAAAAATTAAGTCAGGAACTGTCGGAAAATATACCGGATTCAAGGTTTGAAACCCAGAAACCCGCCAAAAACCTCAAATTTGGACTAAAATCCTGGGTTTTATAATATTATCTAAAATTCCACATGAGATAGAAGGATGCAAGTTTCAAATTCGGATTCCTCATGAAAAACTGAGTCACGAACCGTCGAAAAATATACCGGATTAAAGGTTAAAAACCCGAAAACCCGCCAAAAACCCAAAATTTTGACAAAAATCCTGGGTTTTATAATATTGTAGTGTGTGCAAGGGCTTAAGGAATGGTAGAGATGTTCAGGTATCACTGGTTTATTGTAAGACGTATCAGGGTCAACACTAGGCGACAGACTGCATGCCGGCTCTGCTGAGCGGCTGCTTTTATAGTTTGAGGGTACGTTCGTAAACCAACAGGACCGTGAGTGACCAGTTCTAGGAGTCCTTGGCAGGGAGCTCTCTAGGCCAATAGTATAGGAATGGAACGGAGTGTGTTTGGGTTAAGATGGCGGCTTTCATGCAAGTGACCAGATATGGTTAGGAATCTTTGGACTGTATTTCACAACACCACTCCCTCTTTTTCTTTTTAAAATTAACCCGTTAATTTATACTCCTTTGGTCCACTGAACGCACTCTCAATTTCACAATTCGTTAAACTCTTCAGCATGTATCCTTGAAAATTTTCCTCTCCTTCGCTGAAAAACCTATTCTCATTAACAACCTGTTTAACCCAAGGCAAGGGTGTCCAAACCTTCCTTGAGAAGTTGTTAATGATCAAAAGAAAATAAACAAAAAGTAAACTCGTTTGTTCCTCTGAACTAGAGTGGTTTCAACACTCATTCCCATGGCACGTCCAAAAACTAGTTGAGGACGCTATCCTGGGACTGATATGCCACACCAGAACAAACATTAGGATTAAAATTTTGATTACACTGAAGTCCTCTGATTTACCTGTAACACACATACAAAAACTCCGCACAGTATTTTTATTAACCTCATCCCCTCTAAATAATAGAGTGGGGATTGCCTTGGTGCTGCCTATTCCCTGACTAGCTAGCTAAGACCTTATCCTAAAGCACCATTATTATCTAAACAGTTTTAATTACCTACAGTGTTTCAGAATACTTAACTTTTGTACTGCTCACAGCTTCACTTCTGCCTGCTGTCTTTCTTGAAGGTTATTGTCTTGTCTCAAGTACTGTATCTTTTTGGACTCTTTATTTATTGACAACTACTTTACTCTTGACTGACTTATATACTGATCACTTAAGAACTTTTGGAATCCTCTTTTTAAGTTAGACTCCCAACTTTAAACTCAAAATGACTTTAAAACAAAATGTAATCAGGGATAGTTGTCTGCACACTGCACCCGATTTGTTTACCATTACCACTCAAATCAGACTGAGTGAAAGAAGATAAAAGAAGATGAGTTTAACTTACACCACTATTATAATGGTATGTGTTTAAAGTTTTAACTAATTATTTATTCTCTACAACTCTTTTATTTTGAATCAACTCTTTCTCATTTACTTTTAGTTGAAATAATTGTTCTTGTACCTGACTAACTATGCACCTTCTTTCTCACTCTCTTGTTTGCAGTTTCCCACCATGGACCAAGTCAGAACACTTCTTGCGTATTCCAAACTGAGCCATTTCTAAGAGTTTATTGTGTTATTGGAGTATGTCCTAGAGTTATAGTGTCGTGAAACATCGAGGCACAGCACAGGACTTGTCCCCATACAGGCTCTCTTTCGATGTTTTGTTTGTGTAGAGTTCACCCGGCACAGCCAAAAGACAGGCCTCTTGAGTGACTCTCTAAAATCATTTTTCTGTGTCAAGGAAAGAATCATGAAGGATAAACAAGGCACATACATGTCAGGTAACTAGATTATATTCTTTTCATTATTACAACAAGTTCAAGATAACATTTCATTAGAGCACTAAGTAACTTCAAAGAGGTTATGTGTACAGACACTTATCATTAGACAACTAGATAATGCAAAAGACTTTAAAAACTTATCAGTCAAATAACTAAACTTATCAGTCAGATCAAAATTAATAGACTTTTAACTTATTTACAGGTGAATATTTACAATTGAAGTTACTCGAGTCCACACATTTGGGTCCAAGTTGGTCTATCATCTCCAGTATCCAAGTCCATGTCGACATCCATCGGTGGTGGTGGGATCAAGTCCTTCAGCTGCTGGTGAGCTCCTACGTTCTTCTGGCTTCTGTTCTTCTTTGGCGTTTTCTTGTAGAATGTTATATTGAGATCTTTAGCAAAATTCTTCAGTTGTTTTGATGATGGGTTTCTGCAGTCTGCTTTCCAGTGACCCCTTCCACCACAACGATGACATCTTAACTTCTGTTTTGGCGGCTTGGATCCCGAAGCTGATGACACTGTAGCTTCCGAGAAATTGTTGGGAACCGTAATCTTGGCAGAAACTTCGGCACCTTCACCGTTATTTTCTTGATGCTGTTGTTCTGGAGGACTGGCCGAAACCTCCATTTCTTCTGTCACAATACTGGTAGGTGTCACTTCCTTTATAGATTCGGTGTTTAACTTTAACAACATTTCATCAATCTTGTCCAATTCATCCTGTATGTCCTGATTAGACAGTTCTACCATGTTTTCTTCAGCTTCTTCTCCCAACATAATGTTATCACTGGAGAGTAACATGGCCTCAAACTCTTCCTGCAGTCGCTGGTCTTCTTCCGCTTTTTCCCTCTGTAGAGCTGCTGCTTTTCTTTTCTCTGCTTCTTTCTTTTTCAACTCATTCAACTCTGCTTTTCTTCTTGCTTCTTGCTCCATTATTCTTTCTCGCATTTGTTCCATCTTGAAAAGCTTCTCCTTTGCTCTCAATTGCTGTCTCTCTTCTTCCCTCTGCTTCCGTTCAGCTTCCATGCGGTCTTCCCGTTTCTTCTGATCATACCTCTTCTGCATCTTGTCCTTTAACTTCTTCATTTCCACTTTCCCGAACAGTTTTACTCCTTTGTCTTTCTTCTGGCTGTTGTAGGATGCACCCGGCAACTTTGGGATTCTGTAGTTAGCAATTTTGCCCATTTTGACTGGAGAACACTAATATTCAGTCTTGATGCTTGATTCACAGTTGACCACGCCGTCACCGCCTTGCAAGGGAATGCCCTGCCTTCCCTGGCAACAAGGCAATGTCCCTAGCAACGGGGCATGTCCCTAGCAACGGTTGCTATGCGTCTGATTGGCCAGGCTGGGCCAGGCTTCCAGGCCTCCTCCGCCTTCTATGAACGCTTCTTGGGCGGTGGCATTCGCAAACTCGAATCTGAATCTGTGGTTCCTGAATATGAATGCCACTCCCCTTCGTCTGCTGGACCCGGGTATGGCGCCAACCGATCCATGTGAACCAACTGGATATCAGACGGCTTTTGTATGTTCTGAATTCTGGCTTCACAGTCATTGAGCAAGGTAATTATCTTATATGGTCCTTCCCAATCCACATGCAGTTTCTTGACGTCTGTTTTCTTGAGAGCTTTATTGTACAAGAGAACCAAATCACCTAGCTGGAAAGGCGCAAGGCATGCTGTCTTGTCATAATATTCCTTCATTCTTGTTGCAGCTTCTGCTCTGATGTTTCGCATATCTTGATGAATTTTTATGAGTGCATTCCGCACTGCCCAGGGATAATCTTCCATCATTGGTGACATAACTGGAGGTGGTTCTCTAGTCCCTTGCAATGGTGTTCGCATTGGGGCACCAAACAAGACTTCATATGGTGAGAACTTGTGTGAGGAGTGAGGCAAACTCCTATATGCTTGGGCAATGAATGGTAAGTACTCAACCCATTGTTCTTTAGCTCCTTGGCACAATAATTTGAGATTTTGCTTCAATGTTCTAACCCAGCGTTCTGCTTTTCCATTAGCCGATGGATGATAAGCTGTGGTGCGAAACTTCCTGATGTTGTAGAGCTCCATAATTTCATGGAAGAGCGTTGAATCAAAAGCCTTTGCTTGGTCTGTGAGGATTGAGATTGGAGCACCATAAACAGAGAATACATTTGTGATTAGTGCTTGAGCCATTTCTCTGGCTGTCAATGTTTTCAAGGGAATAAGCACTGGCCATCCAGAGAACGATTCCACTGCCACCAGAATATATTTGTACTTGTCTGGCGTTTCTGGGTAAGGGCCACAAGTATCCACATGCCATCGTCCATGTAATATTCCTTCTTGATAGATCTTCAGTGGAACTTTTGTCTTTTCCAGTGGACCCTTTACTTTTCTGCATAAGACGCATCCAGTCAATACTTCAGCAACGTCATTTTGCATCCCAGGCCACCAAAAGAATCTTCTCAGAGCAGACATTGTTTTCTGAATACCAAAATGGTTGGTTTGTCCCAACTGGCTGTGGTATGCCATGACGGTAGGTTTCACGTGCTTCTGTGGTAAAATCAAAACTGCTTCAGACTTTTGTGGATCACCGGACCAATGTTCTTGTCTCCTGAACAGAAGCTGACCATCTATGAACAGTGAATTGAAGAAATGCCAGAGTGTCCTGGTCTTGCTGCTGTACTGGACAATTTCTTGGAAATGGGGCCTTTTCCCATCTTGCACAGCTATGTAAATTGGCATGATGTCTGGATCCAGTTTCTGATCCTTTACCATGGTCATAGCAGACACCCCTTCCGGAGCTATGGTGGTCCAGTTTGCCAAGACTTCATCTGATGTGGGCTTGACTTTCCGTCGGTCTTCAATTTCGCACAAATGGCAATGGACAGTGCAGGTTTTGACATAATAGTCATGGTCCACCTCATAATGGTACATGTAGAGAACCAAATCAAGATCTTGAAAGACTCTTAGTAAAATCTTCTTTAGAGTTTCAAGCTGGAGTCTGTCCAGACCACAAGAGAATTCTGGCATAGCGATGGCTGGAATATTATACTTGATGATCCAGGCTCTCAAGGTAAGTAGTGCCTTTTCCACATCTTCTGGTGTTGGTTTGTCATAATGCTTGCGTTTGGTGATGATATTTACAATTGTTCTTTTGTCTCTACAGGCCACCACAAGTCCATGGCAAGCTCTGTCTTCTTGCTTTAGAAACTCGTTCCTGAGACCAAACCTTTCTTCCATACGGAGTGCCAATCCACGGCCAAACTTGCCATCCAGACTTACGGCATGACACAGAGGCAAATGCTCAGGTGCACTGAACAAGGATCCTTGGACATCAATTATGGTGAAGTTTTTGGACGAAAAGGTGAGATCCTCAGTGCATGTGGTCAAATTTACTTCAGCATCGCGCTCTTCTAAACGCTTGCATTTCTTACAGTCTGGCGTGCAGGGACGATCAGGTCTTCGGCTCAGAGCATCTGCATGACCAATATTTATGCCACGCTCATGCACTACTTCAAACTTGTAAGGTGCTAATCTTTCAAGCCACCGAGCTAGCTTTCCAGTGGGGTTCTTGAAGTTCTTTAACCATTGCAAAGCAGCATGATCAGACTTAACTGTGAACGGAGCACCAGCTAAGTAGTGATGGAAAGCTTTTACAGACTCCACTAAAGCCAATAGTTCACGATGAGTGGCACAATAATTTTGTTGGGCTTTGTTCAATAATTTTGACCAATATGCTATGGTGACATCTCTTCCGTCTTGCTCTTGAGTTAGCACAGCTCCCAATCCAGTCAAACTGGCATCACATGTCAAGGTAAATGTGCCTTTAGTTATATCTGGAGTGCCCAATATAGGTGGTTCTACCAACTTTTGCTTGATGATTTTAAAAGCTTCTTCACACTCTTGTGACCAATTGAACTGCACTCCTGTCCTTGTAAGTGCAAATATTGGTGTAGCTAGTGTAGCTAAATGAGGCACATACTTAGCATAGTACTGTACTAATCCAAGCCAAGATCTCACTTCTTTCTGGTCTTTTGGTGTAGGCCAGTGAGTAATTTGATCAATTTTCTTCATATCCACCTTTATTCCTTTCTTTGACAGCTTGTGTCCCAAGAAACTTACTTCTTTTCTGAATAATTCACACTTCTTTGGTTTCAACAGGAACCCTCCTGCCCGGATTCTGTTCAGAAATGCTTCAAGTCTTTGCATCATTTGACTATTGTTGTCACCTCCTATACATATATCATCAATGTATACTGCCACATTCTCTCCGATATCATTGTCTTTATTGGGTTTTTCTGCTGGAGTCACAATCCTATCAGTCACATACTGAAAGGCTCCTGGAGCAGCTGAGAGACCAAACCCCATTCTTGTATACTCATATTGCCTACTAGGCAGTCCAAGATCTTCAGGTAATATGATTGCTGTTTTTGGTTGATCTTCAGGGTGAACAACCAAATTATGATATCCATGAGCCAAATCCACTGCATGATAAACTTCTTTTCCCGCCAGATGTTGGAGTAGTTCCTGGGGTCTTGGTATAGGAGCTGCAGGGACCCTTGTGATGGCATTTAAGGCCCTGTAGTCCACACACACTCGGACTTCCCCAGTTTTCTTTGGAACGCACAATATTGGTGATGCCCATGCGGATTGGCTTGGCTTGATGGCACCCATTTTGAGGTATTTTAAAAATGTGTCTCTTACTTCTTGTCGATAATGCAGAGGTACTGGTCTTGCTCTTTGCTTGATGGGTGGATGGTCCCCAGTATCAATGCGAAACGTCAACCAAGGACATGTTCCAAATGTATGGTTGTCTTTGGCAAACACATCATGATGCTTTTTAAGAATTTCTTCTAGTTGCTTCTTTTCACTTCCACTCAGATGTTTACTGCTTCTTTCCAATAATTTCTGTAGCTCATCTGGTAAAACTTCTAAAGGTGGTTCTCTTGGTTCCGTAATTATTTCTGCTCCTTTATGGGGTTGTATTTCATGTTCTGTCCATAAAAGGCCACATGAGCAGACTTCTGCTTCTTCCATTTCACCTTCCTCCCCTTCTTCCAAAATCTCCACATAATCTTCATCCATTTCATCTTCCAGGTCATATCCACTGAATGGCACAGGATGTACAAGAAAAACCTCTCCAATAACAGTATATTTGGGAATTTCAACACATTTATCGCCAAAATTGAAAAGGGATACCGTGACTGGCGCAGTGACACAAGGTACAACTCCGGAATGTACAAGAACGGTAGATGGCAGTTTAGAAGTTTTGACTTCACTAAATTTGTTATTCGTGAGCAAACCAATTCTTGGAACCTGTTTCAGTTCCTCCCCTGGCTGGCTTTCCACATGGCTCCCCGGCGCATGCTGTGCAGTAGTACCCTTTGTTGTACTTTCTGCTGTACTCTCTGTACATGTCGTGTTGAGCTCCACAGCAGCCTGATGGACCTCAAGCTCAGAGTCTAGGTCAGGTGTGGACAGCACCTTTCCCATCTCTGGACTCGCAGTCTCACCAGTCCGCTCGTGTGTCATCCACGCGCTGGCTTCCCCCAGCTCATCAGCCGACAAATCCGTTTCCAACTTTGTTGTAATTTCTCTCTCAAACATAGGTCTCAACAACATTCTGGTATTTGCTCGAACAACATAATACAAACTACCATCACCGAAGTGTCCCTTGGTACTGGACTTATCAATTCTGAAAGGAACCCTGTGATCTGGGCCCAACTTAAGACACTTTTGTCTGACTCGTATTCTGGCATCATAGTGGTCCATGAAATCGTATCCAATTAAGTTCTCAGCAACATCTGCTTCATAAACTGAGTAAGGAAACAACTTCCCATTAAGTACAATTTTCTTCACTGTAGGGCCATACAATGTTGCGTGGTGCGCTGTAGCACTCTTCATTCTTAATTTTGCTACAGGTAACTTGCTGTTGGTACGTTTGAAGACTGTAATCTGTGCTCCTGTGTCTACGATGGCTTCTGCTTTCACACCATCTATGTCGCATTCAACAAAAGGAGCACATTTCTTGGATGTTTTGTTGATGCAAGATGCACATAATTTACAGTCATCCTCCTTCTGCCGTTTTTCTTCTTTTTCCACTTCAGGCTTAGCAGGTATTATCTGAACATGTGTTCGTTTCTGTGCATCACGAACTATTTTCACATCATATGTTATATTGACTTTAACACCTTCTTTGGTTCCAGATGGTGGTACCTTGATTTGAACTTGCTGTTTCTTCGGAGCTTCAA